TCAAGGCACCTATTACTATTAGTACTATATTTGCTTTCTTTTGCCACAGTCATTCTGCTTTTATTTGCAGGACTTTATATGTTGTATTATTATTGTTGTTGTTGTTGTTGATTGCACAGATGTTTAGACTGGATTTGGCATTTTTATCCACCTATCAAGTCCTTCCCAAGGACCTGGGATAGGCAGATGTTGTTTGATGGTATTAAATGGCATTTTTATCCACCTATCAAGTCCTTCCCAAGGACCTGGGATAGGCAGATGTTGTTTGATGGTATTAAAAGTATTGTTGCAGGATATAAGCTGCTGCTGTTGTTATTTAGACTCTGATGTATTTTTATGCTTTTTAATTGATGCACCCCACCCTCCTTATGCTGGTCTTTGATCGTAATAAAGATTTGATTTGACTAGTCCCATGTTAGGCACAAAGCCAGCTGGGTGACTTTGGGCAAGTCATACTCTCCCAGCCCTAGGAAGGAAGCAATGGCAAACCACTTCCAAAACCCTAAAAACTGCAGGGACTAATCCAGACAGTGGCCAGGAGTCAACACTGACTCGAAGGCACCCCCCCAAAAAAGTAGTTAAAACTGAGTTTGATTTACCCCAGAGCAACTGGCATTTAATTCAACTTAATCATTTTTTAAATTTAGTTTGATTTACCCCAGAGCAATTGGCATTTAATTCAAAACTTAATCATTTTTTAAATTTAGAATCTTTGACCCTGAAGCCATTGCTCCCTCTGAAAGTTTCTATTCAGTAAAGGTCTTCAAAGAATTAAATGATGCTTCCAAGTCACTAACTTATCTTTATACAAAATTGAAGAAAGCAGGTAAAACTGATATTATTTATGTGATCTTTGAAATAGCAATTTGAATGTTTTGCTGTTGTAAGCATCGAATTGTTTTAAAACGGTGAAGCTAGTCTTTAGATTATACCTAACATAAAAATGTGTACTGCATATAGTGGACTCCTCAAAATACTGAATAAGGATCATTTAAAATCACCAACTTGTTGGAGAATATTGGAAGAATAAAGCTACACCTAATCTGTATCAGTGGATTGCAGATACCTGTTTTGGTCAATATTTGAACTAGTCTTTTTTCAAAAGACTTCCTTAATGTAGCAAGGAAGAACATTTGAATATTTTGTTCAGTGGGGGAAGGGGAGGTTTTCCCCAGACACAGTATGTTTGTTGATATAAAACAATATCATGGGGATTTAAGGTAAGGAAAAGCTATGTGTTGAGGGTTTTCCTGGGAGAAGTGCTTGAGTTCAGTCCTATATTGGTAACAGCTTAGGGGAGCAGTGGCGTAAGATATGGATCATTTCCTTCCTTCATACCTGATATGTTCAGTGGGTGGGCTAGGTGTTATTGTTCACAATATTCTGTGGATTTAAATTATTCTTTTTCTATTTTCCTTGGGTGAGTGGTGATAGGTAAGTGGCGTAGGTGAGAAGTGCCTAGAGTGGGGAAGCAGGGAGAAGAGAATGGGGACACCCTAATTTAAAGTATGTATTACTTTCAGGTGGTGAGAATATTAGAGGGAACTGGAAGAGATGAATTTGGGAGGTAGAAGTAGAAGGACAGATCTGAAAGAGGTTCAGGAATACCTATATTTATACAAACTAAATATACCAGGAATAGGGAATCGTTTCTCTTTTCTTGTTAGAGCTTATTTGGAAGTATACTTAAATATACAAGAGCTGGTTATATATTATAATCATCCTTGGCAAGTCTCTCACCTAACCTTGTAACAACTGGAGATATGTTTCACATGCATATAATAATTGGTAACCTTCCCTCCTGATATTTTGGATTTTATGTAATACAGTAGAGAAGTTCTCAATTTCATTATGGAAGGAGAAGAGACTTTGCCTTTGGAATAGGTTATAGTTTAAGTTCATATTCTTGTGAGAGACATAGAACAGACTAGTTTTGATTTTATCTCTATCTCCATCTCTAACTGGGAGTAGAACATAAAGTCAGCAGTAGTGCCATTTATAAACATTTCTATTTTCTCCACACAGTCCTCTTTGTCATCTAATCAGTCACCAGTGAAAGTGCTACTTTTGCTACCACTTCTCCTTTTTGTCACCCATTGATTGCTCACTCTTCTTCCTCTTACCTCCTACATAGAAGAAAGTATAAGTATTTAGACTGTATTTACTTCTCACTCCCATAACCATTTATTTGTTGGTTTAAGGCCAAGGAAGAAGACAGCTGAGCAAGCAGGCATAATCAGAGGAAGAAGTAGAAGCAATACATTATGGACTTCAGTACTAAGCATGTTGAACTCAACCATGTCAAGTGGTTTTATTTCCAGAAAGAATGGATTATATTGGATTATTTTAAATGTTAATCCATTATATGCTTTCTGTATTAAGTTTTTAAAAAACAGTGACTAATCATGGTAAACCCTACTTATTTAGTGCATCTTTGTAATACTAATATTTCTTACTTCAGGTCTCAAGCCATGGTCCAGTGTCATGGAGATCTTGGAGGAAAAGGATGGAATTGATACAGAATTACTAGTTTATGCAATGACATTAATAAACAAGGTTTGTTTTAATTTGACATGCATGTGTTCAAATACACTCAGAGTTTTCTATGAATTAAATTTGTAATTAGAAAGCTAGCTTAAAGTAAATAGATGTATTAATATCTCAGAGTGTTTTTTTAATTCTTGCTTCCTTTAGTAGTCCATCAAGCTCTTCCAAACTCCATGTTATACACTGTTCTCTCTCATGATGCACTGAGAATCAGTTGATAAACAATGGCAGCTTAGCGGAATTCCCACCACATGGTTTTAGTCAAGCTTAAATGTATCTCTGGGTGCACTGATGGACAAGTCTGCCAGTTTCTGTCCTGTATTATTTTTACATGTTTTATCACCCTGTTTTTATTAAATATGGTAAAGAATACTCCCCTTTTTAAAGATAGTATGTGTACATGTGCAGAAATGATGGAATGGGAAGCTTGCATTTTTAAAAAGGGGGGGGAACCCACACCATCCTGAGTTTGAAAAAAACTCAGCCAAAAAGTAAAAGGTCATGCTGAGTAGACTGCAGGAGTTGAGAGGTGAGAATTATTTAAAGAGCCTCCCTTTCTAATCTGATTCTTAGAAATATGCTAACATATTGATGAAGTGACTTCCAGGCAATACCATGTAAGTCTGTCCATCCATCCACCCATCTATCCAATTGTTTCTCTAGCCGTACTGCTAGCTTCTTCAGCGGTAATCTGAAACAGAACTTGGCAACAGCTGTCATATCGTTATATACTGCTTGCATTCAATAGTGCAGAGAGCCAGTTTTGTGTAGTGATTAAAGGCACCAGGCTAGAAACCGGGAGACTGTGAGTTCTAGTCCTGCCTTAGGCACGAAGCCAGCTGGGTGACCTTGAGCCAGACTTTCTCTCAGCCCTAAGAAGCAGTCAGTGGCAAACCACTTCTGAAACCTTGCCAAGAAAACTGTAGGTACTTGTACAGGCGGTGGCCAGGAGTCAACATTGACTCGAAGGCGCGCACACACACACACAAAAAAAGGCAGTAATGCAATACACTCACAACCAGTGAAGCAATAATCAGCTTTTGGGTTGAATGGCCATGATCTAGCTTTCTTTTGTCTTGACATTTCACCAGCAGCTGTGGCTGGCATCTTCAGAGGCAGAGTGAACTGCCTTATAGAGTACTTCTTGGTAACTCACAGTTTTTGTTCCAAACCCTTTTTAGGATTCCTTTCTCTACTTTATCTCAATTCATAAATTTTCCATGTCCCAATTTGCCTAAATCCTGCTCCCCATATCTGATGATCCCACAAAAGTAACTGAGCACCTAAGTCATCTTTAAGCCCACTTCTCACTCTAGTTAAGTCTCAGTTGTAAAATACTATTTTTCTAACTGTACTCTGCATTGCTCTTCTTTATACACAGTAATTTGTATCTTACTCTTTATTTTTTTTTTAAAATTAGATCTTAATTTCAGAATCAGATCATTAAAATTTGCTGAATTTTTGCTATTCCTCAAATAAATCACTTGAATATTTTGATTGGTATTCTTTATATGTATTCATCAGTAACTGCTGTAAGTGTGGGGGACTAGACTTAATGAACCAAGATGCTCTTTCAGCCGTTGTTTAAAGAACCCAGAGTGGTTCTTAACCTTTCACATCTTACAACCCATCAGCACCATTATCAAAGGATTTGGGTTCTACCATACTAGAAAAAAGAAACCCACTTTTTCTGAGAATCTATATTATTATTTTTTGTAGGTATTATGTTACAAATATTTAAATTATTATTGTTAGTCACATAGTCAGCCAGATGTTTAGACTGGATTTGGCATTTTTATCCACCTATTGAGTCCT